TATAACGTTATTTCTGTTTTTTTCAAGGCTCGTACCATTTGCAATTTTCTATGTACATTCATGGAGTTCTTAGAGAAGTTTTTTATGTCTTCTTACAGAGGATTAAATTTTCTACCTGTTGCTAGCAAGTAGATATTATTGTTTCTAAAGAAGAATTGGATGCTATACACCAATGGCATAAAAGGATGATCAAATTCTTGGTCTGTAACTGCTTGTAGCATTTGTATTCAATATATTCCTACTACAAAATTTTTTGAATCTACCCGAATACGACTTTGAGAAAAAAAAGATTAAAAGAATAGTTACCTGATCTTCTAAGCAAGTTTTTGCGCACGCTTCAAGCTTCGGACATGAACCGTCTAAAATTCATAATACATTCTTCAGTCAACTAAGTAGTAGCATATGAAAGATTAGGTCAACTACAGTTTTTCACAGAGCGTTAATGAGCGCTAAGTAGACATAGCTGTGAAAAAGAATTCAGAAATGATAATTCAAAGCCGCAACACACGAAGAAGAAACCATAAGAATAGATGGTACTAATCAAAACGTTTAAAAGAGATATAGAAAATGAAAAAGTTACGTTTGGTTGCTGAAATTTAGAGAATAGATGGTGTGCTGTTGTGAATAACTCATATAAAACGAAGAAAGAAAACCTTGTTGCTTATGAAATTTTCATTTATTAATTCAAAGAAAATCATATTAAATTATTGAGGTATTTCTACCAAGGAAAAAAGACTGGCTAAACAAATTTGATTGATTTGCTTACCCAATTCTTCGTGGAGAAGAACGTTACGAATTTGATTCTGGGCATATTTACAGTTAGAGCATTCACTGCAGTGGACATAGCAGGTTGGTCCCAAAACACAACCAAAATTTGCTTTGCTTAACAGTGTATCGATAAGCTACAAAAAAATAACATTGATCTATCATTATTTGACACTTATACAGGAGATTGTTAAATGTAAACTTAGTGTAGTCTGAAGAACTATTTTTTAAGAAAACCACTGTAAATAGCCTTTTATGTTATTTCTATGAACAATACTAATACCTTTATTAAATCATCAAAGGAATAAAAAAATTTAGTTTGTGTAAAAGTGAAACCAACGTACCTTCGATTCTGCTGGAAAGCCGACACCTTTGCCAATACAATTTTCTAATGCACAGACGACAAGTTTCTGACAAGAATCACCTGCTGCCACACTTATCTGTAAGTAAAATTTAAGTTTAGGTGATCAGGCGATACTAAGTGATTAAATCAGTGCATATAATTTGAAAAATAATTGAATAGAATAAAAGTCAAAAAAGAATTGAGCATTTTTTATTGAATTTTTGTCTACACTATTCTCATCTTTACCTTTACTTATCAACTTTAAACTTTAAAACTTCACCAAACATTTGTTTTGTTGAAACTTTTCAACTATTATATCAGAATTGTTTATTGTTTCAAATAAAAAAAAAA